CCGTGTTTCTCAGAGCAACGCATCGGCATCACCGGGGTGCCTGTGAGAACAGCAGGGTCTTGCCCGCCCCCCACCAGAAGGTCTGAATCAGAATCAACATCTCTGAACAAGATCCCAGATGATTCACACACACTAAGAGGCCCTGCTCTATGTACTTGTTGTTACTGCTCCCATTTCACAGGCCAGAAACCCAGGGCTCAGAGCAATTAACTGCCTCACACGCCGGTGCCGGTGAGTTGCGAGACCACATCTGAACCCCCCCAGCTTGTGGTTCAGAGGCTATGCTTATATCCTGAGGTGCTCCAAGCAAGATCTTCAGGATATTTACCTCGGCAACAATCATGTATCGAAAAATAACCAAAATTATCCTGGTGGGATGAATCTATAAAATGTTGACCCTGCACCATTGATAGAAGAATCAGTTATGCTCAGGATGCTATTTTTAAAGAAATGTGGAAATAAATACAGTGAAGCAGGACTTCAATTAATTTTAATTTCCACAATTTTCAAAATCTCTTATTTTTACAAAACTAATTTTGCATTTCCTGATTCTGAAGGACCTTGAATTGAGCCACACTGGACAGACTTCTCTTCTACATGTGTTAGCTGAGGCCATTGATCAGACTGCCCTAGAGGCAGACGTCAAGACCGGATGTCAAGATCCTAGAACTGTGGGTTTTTAGGCTAAGAAAGAGATTTGTACTTGGAATTAAGTTGTAAGAAGTCTCATTTGATGCCAGTGGTCTTGGACAGAGAGGTTTCACAAGTTGGTGTATGGGACTCTGGAGTCAGACAGCAAGATCCCTTCCTTCCCATCCACCATGAATTATAACATCAGGAAAAGACCACAGCGCACCTCGGGCATGGACTGGGGGCCAGTGGGGAGGCGGGAGTTGAGGAGGTAGCCTGTTCTTCCTTAGCTTCTATACTTGACAGACCGTGTTTCTTGCTAGGCATTTGGAACTCAGGGAAGATCTATATATTTTAGGAGATATCCTTGATATGACTATAAGGAACAGAAACCACTGAGGACACTGCAAGGGAACAGAGTGTAATAAAAGGATATATGACCTGGAAACAGCTTTCAGGAACTCTGGCAGTTACTTTTGCTCTCTACCCAAGCTGCATGGGTTATATCTGTCTGTCTGTCTGTCTACCTTCCTACCCAGCCCCTCCAAAGCACCCCACATCTCTCATGGTAGTGCCTCTCCTCCCTGCGGTTCTGCTCCATCACACTCTTGACGCGCCGTTGACCTTTCCAAATTGGACTCCTGGAAGGCTTTGGCTTCATCACGCTTCTAGACACATCCTTTTAATTTCTGTCCCCATGGCTGTCACCATCCCTCTGTTCTGCAATGCCAAGTGAAAAATCTCATTGTTCCAGGTTGGCTCTCGGAGCCAGAATTCCATTTGCCAACCACCAACCAGCCGGACTACCTTGAATCAGAGGACAACCCCCTGGACCGACCAGCCAAGGACAGAGAGGTCATATGGTGACATTCTCCACTTAAGTGCCCTGACAGGTGGAGAGATTTTCTCAAAAGGTGGGGGAGGACAGTGGAGTAGGACTGACAGCACAGCAGGTATCTTCCCAATTTTAATGAGTCGTAGAATCTGAAGGTGGAGGGGAGGGCCTCCCTAGATCATCTGTTCCAAGCCTATCCACATGCTCTGTAGCAATCCTAAAGGGGACTGACAGTGTCACTCCCCTTCCCAAAGATCTCTGAGGCAGAGGAGGATGGGGATGGTGATGGGGAGAGAATGGGGCAAGGGATGAGAAAAACGAGTTCCAAAACTTCCTGCTAGCTAAAGTTGGTGTCAAATGCAACTCTGGGAATGTGGATGCAGGAACATTGCACTTAAAAGGTGCATCTGTAATCACGGATATATATATACCTTTTGACCCAGCAATTGCACTTCTGGGTATTTAGCCAAAGCAAACCAAAACAATAATTTGTAAAGATCTATGCACTCTAATATTCATAGCAGCACAATTTATAATAGCCAAGACAGAAATCATCATAAATGCCCATCAACAGATGATTGGATAAAGAAATTATGGTTTATATATACAATGGAATATTACTCAGCCATTAAAAAAAATGAAATCCTACCATTTGCAATGACATGGATGGACCTACAGGTTATTATGCTGAATGAAATAAGTCAGACAGAGAAAGATAAATATCATATGATTTCACTTATACGCAGAATCTAAGGAACGAAAAGAACAAACTAATCAAAAACAGACTCACAAATATAGTGGACAATTTGGTGATAGAGGGGAGGTGGATTGGGGGGCCGGGAGGATTAGGTGAAGGGATAAAGAAGTACAAATTAGTAGTTGATAGCTGGTCCCAGGGATGGGGAGCATGGCATAGGGAATGCAGTTAGCATTAATATGATGGCTAGGTGGAGGGTCATGGGAGGGAGAGAGCAATTGTGGGGATCGTTTTATGAACTATATAGGTGTCTAACCAATATACTGTATACTTGAAACTAATTTAAATAAAATTTATTTTAAAAAAGGTGCATCTGTTTTCTGTGCACATTTACTAGGTTTCCACAGGCTGGGGACGTTTCAGAAAAAGAAGCTGAACTCTCACATATTGTGCTATGTTTCAAAGCTTGAGATGATGTCCTGAATTTATGTGAAACTTAACAGTACTTTTAATCTTTTTCGCAGCTTTCTTATTAAAGAATGCTGGGTAATGCTGATGTAATAAAGTTGAAATAACAGCCGAGCGTTTTGGTATTCAGACAAAGACTAATGTAGACAGGCTGCCCTCGGAGTTCTGTAATAGTTGGGCAATGCACAGCACATGAAAGTTCAGGTCGTCTGTAGAATTTCAGAAGAATTTCCAAATCACACCCCAAATCACGTGGTTAACACTTTTGGAATTCTGACTGGCACCAAGAAATCATCCTTTTAGTGACAGCATTATTTTATCCACAAAAAAGTGACCAAAAAACTTTCAGAACCAATTTATTGTTTTATTTTTCTAGGAAAATCGAAAAAGCTGCTAGAGGCACCTAGGAGGAAGCTGTACTTGGTTTCGAAATGGAAGTGATATTATTTCAGGGTCAAGTCCTCAGAGACATGCAAACCATTTTCTTTGAGTAGGTGCAGAGAGGAGAAGGCAGTTACACTTTAAACGCCCATATCTTCCTGAAACCAATACCATCACAACCAGGCTGAGACAAGAACACCCAACGTGTCTTTTTGAACCCAAGTGGGGCTGAAAGTCAATTGAAAAATGCTCTGTTAACACAGGGCAAATTTTGATACAAAGATGTATAAATTCATGGGAACATTTTAAATACCCATTTATAATCTTGACTGATTGTATTTGACTTGAGAGGAGAAAATGTGGAATAATACAGGTAGAATGTAAATCATATTTTCCAGCCCGGGTTTCTCAGTCTCAGCACTACTGCTACTTTGTGCCTGGTGATTCTGTGCTGTGAGGCTGTCCTGTGCACTGCCGGATGTTTAGTTGCACTCCTGACCTCCACCCACTAGATGCCAGTAGTTCCTCCCCTCAGTCACGACAACCAAAATGGTCTCCAGACATTACCACATGTCCTCTCGGGGATAAAACTGACTCCAGTTGACAACCACTGTTCTATTTATTTATTTAATTTTAGGCGAGGCAACCTTTGGTTGACCTCACAGATTTCAAAGATCTTGTCAGCTTATTTTATTTTATTTTTTTACGCCTACAGCATCTGGTCTTCCTAGGTGGTCTCCCATCCAAGTACTAACGAGGCCTGACCCTGCTTAGCTTCCGAAATCAGACGGGATTGGGATTGTTCAGGGTAGCATGGCCATAGACGAGAACCACTGTTCAAAATGAAAAATTATAGCTGTTTATAGCAAAGACAGTTACCTGGAATTAAATTAGCCTCCCTGGAAACAGGCATATTTAATTGTCTCATAGGCATAGTTAACATTTTAGAACTGAAGAAAAGGCAGTATTACTTTTCCTTTTTTGAAAATGGGGTCAGAAAACCACTGGCAAGGAATTCTCACCCTGTACATCATGTGTGCTCCCCCAATGGGAAGATTTCTAACTTCCTCAATAAAGAAAACATGATAACATGGGACCACCATTCCTGATCATTTGAGAAAGTGATTAACTTTTATATTTTGAAAGAGGCATGTTTTGAACTCTTGGAGTCTCCTCTGTCCTACATGAACATGGACTCAAAAGTAATTATGACATTTGCATACTTTCATATAAAAAGATTTGCATGTTGTGTCAATAGGTCATGCCTCAGTCGGTTCTTCTCTCGTTTACCTTCCCCACATGTGCCCTGAAAATCATCCAGGAGGGCCAAGGGGCTCTCTAGGGCCCAACAGCACAATGCTTTCAGAAAACCTGGCTCAGTCTGTGGCCAAGAATGCTGTTTTGTCCAAGATCTCCTGAGCAAACTACCCTCAGTCAACCCTAGCAGGCATTTTCCCCTTCCTGGTTAGTTGAGTACTGCCCACTGTGAGTTCTGACTATAACTAAGAGGATGCAAAGGCCACTGCACTCCCCGGGCAAAGGGAGCTAGCTGTCTATCTTCGTACACCATTTCCCAAAAGACAGAGGCAAAGAGCCACTTGGCAAAGGGTCTCTCTCAGCAATGCCTTGTTCCGGAAAGATATCCAGACCCTGTGAGAACTGGGCTTTTGGAAGCAAGTACAGGATGTGAAAGCAGCTGTACATAATGTGAATGTGTCACTTCCAACATGCAAAGAGTGAAAGGTTTTGCTGGGCAGCCACTGTATGGATGAGCAGGTACAGCCTTTATTAGATCCCCAAATGATGAGCAACCAAATCCTTGCATAATCTTGTTTACTTCTAAGCAGATCCCATTAAGCCCTGGGCACTTGGTTTGATTGCTCCCCAGATCAAAGTTAAATTAAATTACCTGACAAGGTGATTTGAGTGAGAGAGAGAGAGAGAGAGAGAGACAGACAGACAGACAGACACTTACACAGACTGACTCACCTTCCAGAAGCTATCCACTTTGCCATACACAAGGGACTGGTTCTGCCTTTTGATTTCGTTAATGTGGTGGATGTCACTGGAGTTCAGGTGCTGCTCGACCACAAATCCCAGAAAGCTGTTGTCTGGGGTATGAGCTGATGTGGAAAGGAAAGGACAGGGCAGTTAGGATTTAATCAGCAAGAAGAAACAACAATTACAAATTTAACACAAGCCATCTCGCTCATAATTAAACGTCTTCGTTTTACCCTGTTCTTTCTTACCTGGGAGGGTGAAGGATTACCTGCTCCCACATCACCCCAGCACAACCTTCACATGAGAATAGTTTTCTTCAGGATGGATTAACTTGACCCAAATCCTGAACCGATTCCTGCCTTTTTTTTTTTTTTTTTTTTAGTGTAAAGTACAGTTGTCTAAAAAACATTCAGCTCTGTGCTCTCCTGCTTCCTATTTCCTCCAAACAAGGCTACTATCTCCTGACAGAAATGCCCTCATCTGGGTTTTACCAACCAATAACCAGAACTTTGGAGGGAGCAGGGCTGAATCAGTGGTTCTCAACAGGTGTGGGGCGCTGTCAGTGGAGCATATATACCATCTGATCCAACTCCAGCTATGTTCACTGTCCAGTTAGGTAAAAGAGTTGGGAGCAAAACAAAGGCGCATTACCCCGACCTTATACCTCCTTAAAGAATTACAAAAGATGGATGGAATAAGAATAAAAAAGGAAGCTCACTAGGATGTAACCCATCCCCAAAAACAAGCCACCACAAAGAACCGTGTCCGGTCTACAGAACAGACTATTCTGGAAGAGAAAAGGCATTTTACTCTGGATCGCTCATCATCTGAGTTCTAAAACGTCTCTATTTTAACACTTGACCAAAGGGGAAAGCAGCCCCATGCCCTCATCAAATGTTTTGTTTCTTGTGCCTACAATTTTAAAAGGAATTTCACCAAAAAGCAACAATCAGAAAACAATTCTCTCTTGATGAAACAGACCCTCCTCTCCTACACATTCACTCTACCCAGAGAAATCTGTTTCTCAAGATGACCCTGCAGAGGCCCCACAATATTAAATGAAGCAACTTCTCTGTCTGACTCTGACCTGAAAAGAAGAGCTGAAAGTAACTTCAATGGAGACATACTTGATATTCAGGAAAATCCGCACAGTGCATATTCATTCAACACAACCATATTCCTTTACAGGTGGGTGATAAACAGACGGAGGAAGTTGGGTCATTTCTCCAGTTCTGGTTTTCTCAAAACTCAGGAGCTCATTCCCAGGCAGGGAGCTGCACAGAAGCCCTTTGAGAGGAGCAGGGGTGGGCAGGCCTGCAAAGGCCTAGGAATCTGAAGCGCCAGGCCCCGCTCTCCAACTCTCTGAGTGAAGATGAACAAGGGGGCACTGGCAGAAAGCCCCGAACGGCCAAGGGGCATAAAATACTGTGTTATCACCATCCAGCCTCCCAAGCTTTTGCCTAATGGGGGTGACAGAACGAGGAGATAATAGGGTTGTGACTGGGAAGTTGAGCTAGGTCTCGCCAATCTGTTATTTCATTTCTGTGTTTTTGAACACGTGCCCAGAGGCAACGGCACTGGCTGCAGTTGGCTGGAAAGTAAATTACTGAATAAATTCTACTGCCAACAAAAGGTAATCGTTGCTTTTTTTTATTATTATTTTTTGAAGAGCTAGGGGGAGGGGATTTGAAGGTTTATGGGGGCAGGGAAGAGAGCCTTCGTGAATTCTAAATTCTAAACGAGACAGCGTTAAATATTTCTTTGTAAAACCTCGTTAACTGTAAAAATTTTGACACTTTTGAAATCTCACACTTTTGAGACTGTGTTTTTCATCTTTAGAAAATATATGTGATGACTAAAGCTTCATGCTTTGATACCTGTCTGCAACTCCATGATCTAGACTCTATGTTGGAACTTAAAAAAAAAGTAATCTAGCATCTAAAACATTTAATGCATCTTATTTCACATAATAATACACTCAGGTGTCGCAAAAAACAAAATGGTCGTTAAACTCATAAAAGAAAAAATATTCATGTATGTTGTATATATTTTTGTGTCAAAGATTCCCATAGTTTCTAGTTTAGTGAGAGGACTGAGGAGTAAATAATCTATTCAAAAACTTGTGAGAAATGGCACTTGTATTCTGACTATAATTTGGTACTAAATCAACTCTGACACTATATGAAGAATGAATTCTGCACACGAGCTCCCCTCCAAGTTTTCATCCAAATACATTATTTCAACACCTCTCTCGTCTGGAGCTATTAACTTGAGAATCGACAACCTGCAAGTGCAGTTTCAGGACCTCAGATGAGACTTAAGGAGAAACAGCAGCAGTGCTAACAAATAGCAGTGCCACATTTCATGAGCACTGGCAAGACCCCCCCGCCCCCCATATTTTTTTCTAGGTAACGCTGAACCTGTCACAGGATGCTGAGTGTCGGCAACATGAGGGGTTGCTCACCTGTGACTCGGCCTGCGGTTACTTCCAAGAGCTAGCCAGCAGCTGGGTACCTCCCTGGTGACATCCTAAAATTGTTTATGATAAATCAAAAGCCACAAGTACAGGCTGATGCAATCTGAAATGACCTTTGTGTGGAGACCTAACCTTACACCAAGCTTTGCCTTTAGCCCTGACTTAAGATGGGAACACGGACTTCGGCTGTGCTGGGAGGGTTTTAAAAAAGAAGGCCTTTACATCTCAAGGTAAATCGAAGAAATCTCATCATAAATGGGACACAGGAAATCCTGTACTTTTGGAGATCACGTCATTGCAGGAGATCAACAAATGTGTTTTTAAAAAATGGCTGATATTTGAGTTCTGACTATGTGCTGAGTTCTGTGCTACATGCTTTCTAGTAACTATTTCATTTTATCTTCATGAAAACCTGATAAAATGTTTGTACAGAGAGTTAAACTGCCCATGTCTGCATGCTACAATGTTGGGATTCAGAGTCAGACCAGCTGGTTCCAGAGTCCACGCTCCTTAAAGCACTTCTAGTGTACAGCCTCGTAGTCTAAATAATTTATTTTCTGGGCTCTGTGAACTACAGTGGTAAACATGCTTCAGAGGAAAATAATGTTATAAGGTAGACCAAAAACACATGAAAAGACCCAGGGGAAAAAATATACATACATGTATTACCTCAGTTTCTCGAGCAACTTATGCTATATGTATGTGAGACCAAACTGATTTTTTTTACAGGGACAAACTAGACGGGATTTGCTAAACATTAACAATTGACTTAAAATAATTTAGGACAAGCATTTATATTAAGAAAAGTATTATTTTAAGCACTCTTGAAGTGCCTATTTACAAATGATTATAAATCAGCTTGATGAGTTTCCTGAGTACATTACAGTGATGACTTCTTTTAAGAACTAATGTTACTTCAGCTTGAATAATTCATTCAATGACAAACGTTTTAGAGCACTCTTTCTACAAACCGGGTTATATGCTAGGTATTGAGGGATTATAACATGAAGATGAGTTTCTGCCCTTACAGAGATTACAAACTAATTTAATAAATGAGATATATACTATATCTACCAAGCAGTAATAATGCCCTCTCTTAAAATGAAATTTAAAAATTTTATTCAAATAGACCTTTCTTCTAATTGTATAACTTTCTGAGGTCTGTTTTTCCGCCACTAAGTCCTAAACATCTTTAAGAAATGCAAATATTTGTTTTAACAGGTTGTCTGCTGGTCTTTAAACACAGCTGGTCCTACAGTGTTGGGTCCCCCTTGCTACCAGGTCACCAAGGACAGAAGCCCCAGAACCAGCCTGGGCTCCGCCCTCAGCCAATCATCAAGTCCTGAGGATGTCAGCTTCTCAGAAATCTCTCAACTCCTTTCCTCCTCTCTTTGTCTTTCTTAGTTCTGGTCCCATCGATTCTTATCAAGACTTCTGTAATAGATAAGTTTTTCTTTTCTCTAAATAGAAACAGGGTTTGTTTGTTTGTTCCTGATTATAATAGAAATATATCCTCAGTGTAAAACTTTTTCCAGAGAATAGAAAAAAACATATAAGGAAAATAAAGATGTCATCCATCATCTTACCATCTAGAAATAACTACTATTAATGAGCTTTTTTCTTCTGGATTAATGGATCTTTTTTATCCTCTAATCAAAAGTGGATCCTACTATACCTACTCTTTTGGGAATGTTTTTCACTTACACAATGTGTCACAGGTATCCTTCTGGGTTAATAACCACAGCTCATCACTGCTTGTTAAAGCAGCACAATACCTCAGTGCCTGAGCTCATTCCATCATCAGGTGGAATGCCCCCATTCTGGGCTGCCAACATTACTTTGTGGAACTAACTGCCCTTTCTCTCCAGGCCATGCAATTCTGTTCCATTCAGGTGGTTGGATTGGTGCCAGTCCTGACCCAGGGACTCCCTCTCTCCCCTTGCCTCCAAGGATGGGTACATAATCCAGAGGACTCTACCTGACCAAGGCTCAGCTGAAAGATGGGTTTATGATCCAAGTATGGCCAATCGCAGTTGGTCCAGTACTAGTCAGAGCTACTTTTAAAGTCAATGTCTTTCTGCTACAGTCACAAAGCTGGCAGGGTAGAAGTCGAGAGCTGCAGTCATCTATGTGCCCATTTGAGGACAGTCTGTCTGAGAATGATGCTAATCCAGAGAAATGCAAAGCCAAGATACGGAGAGAATAAAGATATCCTCCAGGCTGAATCCAGCTCTTCCTAAAGCCAGGTTTAACTCCTAGTGACAAGAGCCAACAAACCCTTGTGACCAAGCCAATATGACAGAAATCCTGCCTAATACACCAAACCACAGGACATTTAGGATGTTTCCAATTCTTAACTTCATCTACATCAAAGAATATCATAGAACATCACAAACTCGTAAACTGCCGTGGATTTCTAAGTAGTCTCTATAACTTCAGCTTTGCCCCTTTCTCTCTTTCTCTCTGCTCTCTAACTCCAATGCATTTTCTGTGTTGCTTGACAAGGTATTCATTGAAACAAATATGTGACTATGGCAGGGACCAGCATACCTATCATTCTGGCTTCATTTCAGATCACCCTCTGACTGATACTTCTATGCCATGATGACCCACTTGGGGTTTTCGATGCCATGTTTTTCCATCTCC